TGTATACACGACGCCACAGTATCTCGATCATGAATAAAACGTAATAAACACCACATGGTGTCAGAAGTGGTTTTCGCGCGCGGAAAGACCCGAAAAAACCGATGAAAATATCGCGGATACGGGAAAAATAGTTCGGAAACGCGAAACGTAAAGTTGGACAACGTAAATATTGATTGGATACGGATCGGTAAAGCGTAAAAGTTGCGAAAATGGTCGATCCACCACAGCCACCACCTCAACAGCAAGCGAACAGCGTACATAACCCCATTCAAAGTTTCTCAGCCCAGCCGCCGGAGAGAATCAACATCCGGAATCAAATTGACAAGGCGAGAATCTGGAAAGATTGGAGTCAGCAATACGAGTGGTTCGAGCTAGCAGCAGGAATTAAACAGCTCCCGGCGGAAAGGCAGGTCGGCATCCTCATGAACAGTCTGGGACCGGATGTAATAGGAACGTTTACGGGATTCCAACTGACGGAAGAGGAGAAAAAAGACCCGAATGTGATCAAGCGAAAGTTTGCCGAAGCGTTCAACCCTACTGCTAACCCTACGTACAGCACGTACATATTCCTGAAGACTGACCAAGGCCCGGATGAAAGTTTTGACAGCTTTCTTATTAAGCTGCGACAGGCTATTGTGGATTGTGATTTCAATATTCCACAGGAAGGTATGTCTACGGAAGATCGACTGCTAAAGGACAAAATCGTGCTGGGAGTGCACAGTCAAAAAGTTCGGGAGAAGCTCCTCAGTGACTCCAAGTTGACCCTTGAGAAAGCAATTCCAATCTGCAGATCCAGTGAAAAGACGACGGAAACGTTGCACCAGATCAGCTCTGACACGAAGAGTTGCGATGCCATCAAGGGAAGAGAAGCTGATAAACCTTTCAACTGCCGTAGGTGTGGAACTAAGCACGGAAAGAAAAGTTGTCCTGCATTCAAGAAAACCTGTCCTGTTTACAACAAAACTGGACACTTGCCAGAGTGCTGCTTCAACAAGAGCAAGGACCGGGAATCGTCTAGCAGTAGCAGCAAGAAGAATAAGGAGAAGGAAACAGCGTCTATCGTACAGGAAACAGAAGATTCGTCGGAAGAGGAACATGTGGACCTGCATCTGCACGCAATTCAAGCTCAGGAGAACTCCAGCACGGATGATGACGATTGGTTCGAGGATGTGTTCGTGGGACCTGCGAAAATTACGTTCAAGTTGGATTGTGGAGCACAATGCAATGTTGTGCCATTGGATCTGGCTAGGAAAACTGGCGCGAAGTTACTGGACTCATCGACCAAGTACATCGTCTCGTACAATGGACACCAGAACAAGGTGGAAGGCGAATTCACAATGAAAAGTGTAGTGAAAGGTAAAGAAGAGAACATAACCTATAAAGTTGTGGATCTAGACGTCGTTCCTGTTCTTGGAAGGACCAGTTGCGTGAAGCTGAATCTGCTTAGGCGAGTACACGTCGTGAGAGAGGACACCAACATTTTCAAAGGTTTGGGTTGTCTGAAAGGATTTGAGTACGAGTTGGACTTTAAGCCGGACGCAAAATTCGAGATTCGACCAGCAAGGATGATTCCGCACAAAATTCGAGGAGAAGTGAGGGAGGAACTGGAAAACATGGTGAAACTGGGAGTTATAAGGAAGCAAGAAGAACCAACACCAGTGGTAAGCAACCTAGTAATGGTCCGGAAGAATAAGAAGATTCGACTGTGTATTGATCCGACAGACGTGAATAAAAGCATTCTGCGCAGACACTATCCACTCAGGACGATTGAGGAGATTGTGGCAAGGATCCGTGATTCAACTTGGTTCACCATACTGGACTACAAGAAGGGCTTTTGGCAGATAGAAGTAGCGGAGGCGTCCCAAAAATACTTGACATTCGGAACGCCATGGGGCCGCTACTCATGCAAACGTCTTCCATTCGGTCTCGCATTAGCACCAGAGGTGTTCCAGAATCAGATCTCAACGCTGCTGGATGGACTAGATAACACGGATGTCTCGATGGATGATATATTGATATATGCAACAAGCGAAGCGAAACTAAAGGAGATCACAGCGAACGTTATTGACCGCCTAGATCGCGCTGGATTGAAGCTGAATAAGGAAAAGTGTCGGTTCGCCGTTAGATCCGTGAAGTTTCTTGGACACATCGTATCGGCGGAGGGACTGAAACCAGACGACGAGAAAATTGTGGCAATCAGAAGGCTGAAAGTACCGGAAACCAAGAAGCAGTTACAACGTTTGCTTGGAATGGTAACTTACCTTTCGAAATTTATTACTAACCTCTCGCAAATTACAGCTCCTCTAAGATTGCTACTCCAGAAGGAAGTTGCTTGGGTTTGGAGCCACGAACAACAAGCAGCATTCGAGAAGATAAAAAGACATCTCTCAAGTCTCCCAACGCTGAAATTCTATGACGTGAATCAGGAAAACGTGCTATCGGTGGACTGCAGCTCACACTCGATGGGAGCAGTTCTCCTGCAAGAAGGACGCCCGGTAGCATATGCATCTAAAGCGCTGACTCCATCTCAACAAAATTATCCTCAAATCGAAAAAGAGGCCTTTGCAATTAGATTCGGATGTCAGAAGTTTCATCCTTATATCTTCGGGAGGCCGGTAACAATTGAAACCGACCATAAGCCTCTTGAATCGATATTCAAGAAACCATTGGATAAAGCCCCACCACGACTGAAACGCATCATTCTCGATGTCCAACCGTATGCACCGTCGATTATCTACGTAAGAGGAGAGAATGTACCAATTGCTGATACGTTAAGCCGTGACGTTGACAACCCGAAGGAGAAAAACGAGGATGAGCTAGAGGTTCACGTGGTTATCAACGTGACGAAGCCGTGGATGGATCAAATTGTAGCTGAGACTGAAAGGTCTGAAGTGTTGCAGAAACTAATTCGCTGCTTACTCGAAGGATGGCCAGAAGAACTATCACATGTGGATGGTGATCTCCAGCCCTATTGGAACTTCAGAGATGAGTTATCAACGTATGAAGGTGTGATTTTCAAGGGTGACTGCATTCTGGTACCAGAATCGCTTCGAAAGAAAGTACTGAGCCTTACGCATGCTGGACACTTCGGAATCCAGTCTTGCATTAAACGTGCGAAACAGTTAGTGTTCTGGCCTGGCATGGGCCGTGACATCCAGCGGTATGTGGATGAATGCAGCCTGTGTCAAAAGCACAGTCGAAGTTGTGTAAAGGAACCGATGATCGTCAAGAGGATTCCTGACTATCCATTCCAGATAGTCGCTTCGGATATTTTCCACTTCAACGGAGTAAATTATCTAGTACTCATCGATAGCTATTCGGGATGGATTGACTTTAAGAAACTGCGCACGATGGAGTCATCGGAGGTAATAGAGAAGCTGGAAACATGGTTTGCAGTTTGGGGAGTTCCAGAAGAACTCAACAGCGATAACGCGAAGCAGTATACGTCACAATTGTTTAAAATGTTTTCATCAACGTGGAATTTCGAACACGTAACGTCGAGCCCGTACTATCCACAAAGCAACGGTCTATCTGAAAGAGCAGTTCAAATAGCCAAGAACATTCGAAGGAAGTGCAAAGAAGACAACAGCTCCGTACAGCTTGGTTTATTGAACTACCGCAATATTCCACGATCTAAGGAACTATTGTCGCCGAACCAAAGGATTATTAGCAGGATAACAAGAACTCCGCTGCCAATAGTAGAAGAGAAACTAAAACCAATTGTTGTCGAAAACGTCAAGGAATCCCTAGAAGCTGCGAGGCAGAAACAGAAGGACTACTATGATCGAGGAGCTCGGAAACGCCTGGAATTGGATGTCAACGATAATGTACTGGTGCAGAATCAGTTGACTAATATCTGGGAGTCGGGTAAAGTGATCGCCAAAACGGACACTCCACGGTCTATTATCGTTGAGAAAAACAACGGTGACATCGTTCGACGCAACATGAAGCATGTAAGGAGATCCGTTGTCTCGATTACACCTAAACCCGAAACCATTAGTGAAGATGATCCCGAGAATCCCGAAGGAATCGATTCTGATGGACCGTCATCCGAAACTGGAAATACGCCGTCATCGTCGCCAGCTGTATCACCACAGGGTCAACCTTCTCTACCAGTTCTTCAATCCAATGATGATAGCGGCCTTCATCCATACGTGACAAGAGCAGGAAGAACGATCAAACCAGTAACCAGACTAAATTTGTAGTTGTTCTTTTTGAAAAGGGAGATGTAACAGATATCAGAAACCTAGCCCCTACTTTATACATGCTCCTCTACATACCCCTATCTACTCTATGTATACACGACGCCACTGTATCTCGATCATGAATAAAACGTAATAAACACCACACAGACCTTACATTATGAATCATAATCATGGGCGTTGAATATGGAATGGACTATTCGAAGGACTTCACAACTACTTGAAAGTTCCCAAAATATTCCTGTTAATGAAACTGCCTTGAAGTTCTTTTGTAGTTTGAGAAACTAGCCTGATGCTCACAATACTTCTCATCCAATTCTAAAATTTCCTCAATTTTCCTAACGATCATGGATTTTCTCTTAAGTTTGAAGTTTTAACAATTCAAGCTGAACATTGCATTAGGTCCTAAGTAACATTGATCGATTCTCTTCGTCGACTTTTTCTTTGTATTCCCACGGCCATGTAAAGACATTCCCAGGTATTTTCAGCACACAGATCGATAAAAGAAGCTTTTATCTAGCATCTAATACGACAAACACAGAAACGGTTATGTCTGTCTTTGAGTGCAAAATTGTTGTAAAAAAATGTTTTTCAAGCAAAAAATGCATTCTCAACAACTGTTTAGTCACCCCCAGACGAAAATAGGCATAGCGACTGAAGAAGGCGACATTAAATGAAGAAATGAAAGAGATATATTCTCCTATGTGTTCTCTAAAACGATTGAAATAGAACATCCAAAATTGCAACATTTTCGAGAATACATTCTTAGTGTAGTTAAACTGAAAATGGGGTACTTACAAAAGACCAACAGCCACGCTTCGCTATTGTCGAAGCAAATGTCCTGGATGCACTTTTGATTCTCGGCAAACCAGCACAACAGCATCAAGTGCACCTCCCCCGTGCCATCGATGTACCGAAGCAGAATTTGATCGTTTCGTCGAACCAGACAAAGGATTTGATAGTCTCGGTCCGTTTTGGTACTAGCCGAAAGCTTGGCATCCACATTCGTTATAAGCGTGTTCAGTTTGATTATGTCCCAATCCTTGAGTGATGCCATCTTCTTTTACTTCTTCTTGCAATCCGTGTCCTTCGCCAGACGATTTCCCTTCTCGGCGTTTCGTCACTCCTTTATTATTTTTTTCCCGCTGGTGCTAAAAAGGCGCACCCCGTCCTGCGTTCACTCGATCAACAAACGATCTGAAAATAGCGAAAAATATGAATAATTATTACTGCGTTGAACATTGCTTCGGAAAAGAAAATTGAAAAACTTCCTTCTCGGCGGACGCACTATCACTCGAGCATGACGAAAACAAATTTTCGAGTTTTGTCGATTTCCACCCTCCTTGGGACAATGTTTTGAATTTTACAAATCTTCACCACTTTTCACCGAGCGGAAAATGCGCTTTTCATGCCAAAATCCGGATTTTAAACTACGTACCTTTCGGGATTCACTTCTGGCTGGCTGCGAAAAAAGTTGACAGATAAAAATGGACTTTTGGGTTTGACTCTCCCATCAACCCAGGAGGAGGCAGCAACACAGTACAAAACAAAAACGACAACAAAAAACGTAAAGAAGAATCAGATGATCGTACTGACAGTTCGTTTTTCACCTCACCGTGTCCATCGCTTACACCACCAGCTGTAGATGTGTGCGTGACTTTAGTGTAGGGGTGTTGCATGCGTTCTTTGTTTACGACCGGCTGCATGCAGCAAAGCTGCTGGCCGTTGGAGTGGGTTTGTTTACAAATGAAGTTTCATGGTGTTGGTGGCGATGGGTTGCTCGCATCGGAAGAATGTTTATGCTGTGTTGATGTTGGGGTGGTGAAAATGTACACTGATGGGCGATGAAATGGGCCCACTCAGTGATTTTGATTGAACGTTGGGCGGAAAATCCGGGAAAACTGAAGCAGCGTTGCTAGATTCTTATCATTTTTTTTTGAAAATATATTTTAACATGATAACGAGTTTGAAATAATAAACTTTCATAGCTCGATGCGTTAATAACGCTTGGCCATGACCGTTTCTCAACGATAACGAACCAGAAATTCCAAGTCAAATCTACGGAGTTATACCTGCAACCAATATTAGTTTGTAAGTATGCAAATACGTAGGATAATAACGAGGGGAACGACGCTCAAGAATTTCCATCAATGAGTGTTTCATTCTTAAAATTACTAGCACATTTTTTTTTAATATCTAGAACTCAGTAATAGGGGTGAATGATTCGGTTAAAACCCATAAATCTCAATAGACGGCTGTCTCTTTACCAATTTTATTTTAACTACTGAAGTATATATTTATATCGTTATTATTTTTGCTGCTTTGGTTTGGCTGCTTATACCACAGAAAAACAGACGTAACTCTTCATTGCGTATCTTCGTTCATGCATTTAACGGTTGATTTGAATATTATCAGTTCCACGAACTACTCGCCGCAGCGCTGGCATCGGATCAAAGTGACGTTTCTATATATATATTCTATAGAACTTGTATGCAATATTGTTTACGAGTTAGCGAGCAAGCTTGTTTTCCGCGAGAAGCCAGAGAGATGTCGTTACTGAGGTTATATGTTTTGAGATACTATGTTTTCAAGAACAAATTTTTCAAAGAGTTACGTCTGTTTGTCTGTCCTTATACCTTATGATGATGAATTAATAATGATGGTCACACACTTAGAATTTTTTACAGAATTCGGTAAACAAAAACACCGAAATTGATCTGTAAAATGTATATTACAGATTATTCGGTAAAAGTTAGGTATATTCCATCAACTTGTCACATACTTACCGAAATGCTGTAAATAAAAATAAATACCGAACTATCTGTAATGTTTTTTTTACTGAATTATCTGTAACACATGGAAATTTACCATAAATCGGTAATTTCTCACCGAACTTCTGTAAGAACCTTGTGCAGCCATCTTGTCAAATCTGGAAAGCAAAACAATTCACAATTGCTTGACGCGCCGGTACTAAAAGTATCGGAAAAGGTGCGAAAATGGACAATTTCATAGACAAATTGCATGGACAGGACGAAAGGATAGTCAGTATCTTCCGTAAGTAATATAAAACACTTATTTAATTATGAACTTGTTCTAGCCTTCGATAATCTGTTTTTTTTTTGTCATGCCCAAGTTCCCGGCTACGTTGCTGGCTTGCACCGCCATGTAAACAGCTATATAAAATATAATGATTTCCGCTCGCAAGCTACGTTTTTTGATTGTGCATTTCCACAATGCAATTCACTATTTGCCAAATTTACACTCTCAAAAGGCACATAATTGAGAAACATCCCTTGGATAATGTTATGAACAGAACACTTGAACATGACCTACGGCATACATTAAACACTGACGAATATCAGGAACAGTAGGAACATGAGCAGAATTTGAGTTCCAGTCCAGCACAAGTAATGTAACTGGAAGAGATTCGAAGGATTATTAATCTTAACGTTTGTCGATTGACAAGCGATGTTAGTCTGCCACAATCCAAAGTCAGAGAAATAATCAAGTTTTGTGATGCAACTATCCAGCATGTTACTGATTACTTGGAGAAACAAGTCTTTAAGTTTTTGGAACTTCATAGCATTACGCTTCCTGATAGCGAGCTCATAAGATTGCGAAACACTTTTTATCTGAACGATATGTTTTCCCAAATCGACTCGTTTACGAAGCAAAACAAATGTTTAAATAAAATGACCGTGCAAACCCCTGCTCCCGGAGACATTCTGTTGAGCCGTCGACAAGATGTCCGTCACATAAATTCGCTCCCTAAGAAGGTTTTGGTTAACGAAACAGCGTCGTACATAAGCATTGTAGATACGCTTAAATTATTATTCAGAGATCCCAGTGCAAGACAGCTTTTGGAAGAGCCAGAATCAGTAGACACTCCTTGTGTTACAGAGTTTAGCCAACAATCAATACGAAACTAGCGATTTTAAATTGGCTCACTACTTGACTAGCCTATTGGTCCCAAGCAAATCGACTAACGTACCCTATTCTAGTATAACTTCCAGTACTACACTATGTTTGTTTTGATTCGGTATGAAAGTTTGACAGATAAAATGAGGGATTAGTGGATTTTCCTATGTTTCGAGGGGTGAATCGATTAGCTTGGGACCGAAGATAGTACCAGAGCTGAGCCAAAAAGTTGAGCTCGTTTCTTCGGGACCATCTGGTCTTAGAGTTACCAACAATCAATACGAAACTAATGATTTTAAATTGGCTCACCACTTTAGTAGCCTATTGGTCCCAAGCAAACGATTAACGTACCCTATTCTAGTTGAAATTCTATTACTACACTATGTTTGTTTTAATTCGCTATGAAAGTTTGACAGATAACATCAGGGGTGTGTGGATTCATGCAGAACATGCAGGGGTGAGTGAAATAGCTTGGGACTGCTTGGGACCGTTGTTCTGGTATTGAGTGAGCCAAAAATAATAATGATTTTCTTCGGGACCCAGTGGTCTTAGAGTTACCTCTATGGAATTACCTCTATGGTTTAGCTCGTTCAAAATGGGAGAATTGTTCAAAACCAATGAGTATTTCAAGCAAATCCAAACTGCATTCGTTTGAACTTCTATCAGGATGATGTTGAGCTGTGTAATGCATTAAGTTCAAGGGCTGGAGTTAATAAAATTTGCAACTTCAGCTTTATGTTGCAAGCTTCAGAATATGTATGTAATGTATGTAAGGTAGCCACCATCCCTTCAAAGATCTTGTCTTGTATGCAGCTCCACTTAATAGTAAGATCAATTTGAGCTACCGATCTGAATTCACAATATCGCTGTATGAAGGGCCAAAAACGGACCCGTAAGCAGAGACACTTACGCGAAATCCACGGGAATTTAAGAATCTCCTTCCAACGATACGATCCAACAAATCGGATAACGCAATTCGCAATACTTATTAAGCTTTCTACAGGATGGTTTGTAAAGAAGGGCGCGTCAATCTCACTGAAACTGTTGGAGTAGAATTCACACCACCACAATCGAATCGGAAGGATACAGAAAATGATAGTGTTTATTCCCTCCTAGACTCCGGTTGTTATACCACTCCAATCGTCCAGTTCCAGGTCAAATGATACCCTGATGCTCCCTCCCAACCCAGTATTTATTTATATAATGAAAATATATGTAATAGAGAAATGAAATATATCAGAACATTAAATATGAAATAATGAATATAAATTTATCTATATTGATGAAATAGTTGGTATTCTGCAATGAAAATAATAATTATGTTACATATAATAAGATGCAGCTCTATGCGTAGTTTCTTCAGCTCACAATATCAAGTGGATGTAACACTGAAATTTCAAGGTTATATTAAGCAAATATACATTTTATCTCTAATTACTAATAATGTAAGCATGTAAATGTAAAGTGTAAAGTGTGATGTATAACTAATATAACTATCAATAAAATGCGATTACGAGAAAAATTAAGGAAAGATCTCACCCGATATGTAGCAAAGGAATCCATGACATCACGATGATTTCGAAGAACTCCAATAGTAATGCTGGCGCTACTTCTTCAACCGGTGTTAAAAACAGCACTCTCGCCTTTCGGTTCTCACACAGCAGCGCAAACTCCATCAACCACGAAATACACTCTAGCTGCTCCAACTAGAGGGATCTCAGCAGAGAAAAAAAAGGACTGCATCCACTTTCCATCACCAATCACTCGCGACGCCAGCTCCTCATCGACCGAATCAACTCGCGACCAACGCCGAAATCAGAACCAAAATCTCCAGCGACCGAAAACCCACGCGTCTAAAGGCCGGCGCACAATAGATACGTTTTCGGGTTTTTTGACAGTTAGCCCATGCATTATCTGTCAAAAAACCCGAAAACGTATCTATTGTGCGCCGGCCTTAACAGTGGCCACGGCACACTTCGATTGCATTTCTGAAACACAACCTCAACGCACAAACACGACGATGACAACATTCGTCCGGAAGGCGGAACGTCAGCACGCACAAACAAAGGGAAGAAAAAATGCACACACAGAACGCCGGCTGAACTGTTAGCGTTGCAAGCCAAACGCGAAGTGATAAACAAAAAAGTTATGAATTATTGAAAAAATAAGTGTTTTCCAAAATACCACCTACAGTTATCAAATATCTTTAAAATAGTGTTAATATTAAAACACATTAAATTAACAACAAAAAAGCTCATAATGCTTAAATTGTCCAAAGTTGTTAAAATTCACTTATCGCAGATTTTAAGAAATTTTCGCCCTTTTGAGATGTTTACTCAAATTGCATATCTTTTTAAAATATATTTTTTTATATTTATTTTGTAGCTTAGGTAAATAAATACCTATTGACACTGTGTATTTGCTGGGCAAATCATAATTAAAAAAGTTATGAATTATTGAAAAAAATAAGTATTTTCCAAAATACTACCGATAGTTATCGAATATCTTTGAAAAAGTGTTAACATTAAAACACATTAAATTTACAACAAAAAAGCTCATAATGCTTAAATTGCCCAAAGTTGTTATTTTCGAGATACTCGTAGGTTAAAATTCACTTATCGCAT